CTTTGGCGTGGCGAAGATAGCCTTTCTTTCTCGTTAATACAATATTTAATACATTTATTCCCCGCTTTTTATAAATTAAATTTTAATTTATGCAAAATGAAAAAAAATCCTTATTATACAGTTGTCTGTCTCTCTTATTTTTGAACAATTTAGAGAAGACCCAGAATGGGACTGCCTTTCAGGTTCCCTGGTCTCTGTCTCTAGACAGGGGTGGTAAAACGCTCTTGAAACGGACTTTATTCTTCTTCACCTGTTGGAGCTCTGCCTTTTGTGGCACGATTTTTAGTCTTGCTTGTGGCGCCGTAGGCCAGGCCGCGCGTAGTATCTCCGGCCCGGGATATTTTGGGAGGGCCTGGCTGGCGTCCTTCGGCGTGAGATTTGGTCACTTTGTGTGAGTGTGTATGTGTGTCTGTGCTTGGAAGTCCTATGTGCCATTTATACACTATAATTCCAACAATATGTTTACACTTAATAAATTTTATTTTATAATAAAGTACACCCTGTTGTCGTGATTAAGTTTAACTTTAATTTTATCTATGTGGAACAAACATGCACATTCAGTCATTTTAGAAGACACTGCACAAGCCGCACATGGTAAGTCTCCAGAGACATTTGGCAGCAACTTCCATGCATGTGCTATAGAATAGGGCACAGCATCCTTAGCTCCTTTCTGGCAGGACGCACCTTTAATGTGGCTGTTAAAGACCAAAGGTCGGCAATTAAGGGCATCAAAGCAGGTGTCCCACATGGCAGCGTCCTCGGTCCGATGCTGTACACGCTGTATACGGCGGACCTGCCCACACAAGGACAAAGCAATGAAGACCTCAGCCCTGCGAGACTGCTGGTGGCAACATATGCGGACGACACTGCCTTCCTAGCCTCCCACAAAAATCTGCAAGCTGCTACAAGTGCAGTGCAGGACTGGCTGCTGCAGATCGAAACCTGGACAGCTATGTGGAACATCGCTATAAACTGTGCCAAGTCCGCCTGCGTCACTTTCACGCTGCGCCCAGACAGCTGCCAGGGGCTACGGTTCGATGGAGGAACCATTGAGCAGACCAACTCTTTCTGCTACTTGGGTGTCCACCTGGATCGAAGGCTCATATGGGGGCCTCACATCGCAGCAACGAGAGCAAAATGCCTGAGAAGGCTTCAAAAGCTCGATTGGCTACTAAAGCCTCAAAGCAAGCTGCACATATCCATGAAGACACTGCTTATCAAAACGATGGTAACGCCTATCTGGACATATGAGATCCAAGTTTGGGGCACGGCATCAGCACACCAGCTTCGTCGCATAAGAGTGGTCCAAGCCAAGGCAGCACGCAAGGTGGCTGGCCTGCCATGGTACGTAACAACAGACGCCATCGAACGCGATCTCCGCCTAACAAAGGTCGGAGATCAGCTCAACTTCTTCAGCAGCCGATACTCCGACAAATTGGTGCAGCATCCGAACGCGGCCGCAAGGGCCCTGGCTGAGCCCATCAGTGAGAGGCGCCTCCGAAGGCTACACCCCGACGACCTACCAACGAGACGCATCACTTAAACATCCCTTTCCCATTATTGTTATATATTTTTAAGTTTGTAATTATCACTTAAGTTATTAAATAAAAACTATACTATATACCCTTAACTCCGCTTGGTAGAGATCAGAAGACACTGATCGATTCCAGCGCAAAATAAAAAAAAAAAAAAAAAAAGCGAGTCAGCTGTTGTACACAGCCGCTCCGCTAAGCGACTGCCTGCCGAACAGTGGCACATACAGCACAGCACCACTAACCAAACAACTCATAGACTGGGGCCTCTCGTTTTTGTGCGGCTGGTCCAAAGTCGCGTTCGTTTTTGTTCGAAATTGAACCCATCGCTACTTTTTTTATTCCCTTGTACTACAGGAAACTGCTTTGGCTTACTCTCAGTGCTCTCTCAATTTGTGTATCTACCGTTGTACTGTCTGTGTTAGTATTTCTTCGCACAAGCAAAAATGTCAACGAACTCAATTTTTCTCAAAAGTCGGTGGCTTTCTTCCCTTTTGAAGGGACGAGTATCGTTGGTAAGGAAACCTAAGCGTTGCCATGTGTGCGTTCAAAATATTTTGAATCCGTTTTTCAAGCATACTTGCATATTTTGTATGTAAATAGAACAATTTATGCCTGCCTGCCTGTCCTTTGCAAATTTGACAAGATTTGAACTTGTGATTTCTGCGTTTCGGGCGCTAAACACACACACACACACACACACACACACATGTGTGTGAATGGGCAGATCATGGGCGCAAGAGAAAATTTCATTATTGGCACGCGTCTGACACGCGCCCTTCTTTTTATATGCTGAACCCATTAAAAATGGGTAAAAAGGGTATTATGTTCTTGTGCAAATGTATGTAACAGGCAGAAGGAGGCATCTCCGACCCCATAAAGTATTTATTTTCTTGATCAGCATCAATAGCCGTGTCGATGTAGCCATGTCCGTCAATCTGCCCGTCCGTCCACCCGTCAGTCTGTCAGTATGTATGAACGTAAGGATATCAGAACCTAGAGCTAGAGACTTGAAATAGAAGAATATACAAACATTCTATGGTAAAATAAGATATACTATAGAAAATTTCCTTAAGATCGATTAAGAAAAACCCAAAGCTGCGCGTTTGCTTAGAATTCTGTCAACAGTATTGCAATTTGCGATTGTTTTCTGTGCTGCTATTTTAATTCTGTTCTTTCTCAATAATACTTAATTATTGGTGTGGCTGTTGAGTAGAGTCGTCAGCAGGTAATGCGCTCATTTACAAGTTCGAACCCTGCCAAGGGACCTTTTCTTTTAATTTATCTTTATTATTTCAAACGAGCGCTTACTGTATTTGGTATTGGAATGAGAGGGTTCAGGGTATTCCCCAGTCGGGAGCTCCCGACTAGAACCTCTTACTTATGTATGATTTCCGGTTTGAAATGATGAACGAATGTTGACCCCTTTTCTTATTACCTGTCAACTTTTGGTAAAGACCTGCACCTGCATATGTAGGTCAAGTGACTGATCAGTTTTGATTTTATGACCAGCGAAAATTTGTGTCAAAAATTCAAATCTTTAAAATATTCAACTAAACCAAATAAAAAGGAACGATTATATATTTATAGTATTCATAATTTTATTTACTTAACATATTAAGCCTTTTCATTCAATTTATTCAATCCTGACGAATGCCAATAATGACATTTTCTTTTGCTCCCATGATCTGCCCATTCACACACATTTGTGTGTGTGTGTTTAGCGCACGAAATACAGAATTCACAAAAACTTCAAATCTTGTCAACTTTGCAAGGGACAGGCAAACAGGCCATTAACAGGCCCACAAGCGTATAAACAGTTCTATTCATATACAAAATACGAAAGTATGCGTGAATAGCGAGACGAAAATATTTTAAATGCACACTTGGCAACGCTTAAGTACCCTTACCATAGATAACGAGCTAAAGCGCAAGAATTTCTCAACGACGTGGCAAACCCTTTCTTGATTTCATACTACTCGTCCCTTCAAAAGGGAAGAAACCCACCGACTTTTGAAAAAAATTGAAGTTGTGAGCATTTTTGCTTGTGCGGACAAATACACACAAAGACAGTTCAACGGTAAATACACAAATTGAAAGATCACTGAGAGCCAAAGCAGTTTCCTGTAGTGCGAGGGAATAAAAAAAGCAGCAATGCCGTTCTATCGCACAAGTCATATGTATTTCTTACTACGAACAAAATCGAAGGCGAGTCAAAAAACGAGAGGCCCCATCTCCGCCCACTGGTTTTCCAGTCTATATGTTGTTTGGTTAGTGATAGCAGGCAGTTAGTCCAAATGGCATGAGCGAGTGTGACCAGTGTGCTGTCGTTACCTGCAGAGGTAATTATTATTTACTAATAGCAGAAAGTATCAACTACGCATGTGATCAATGGCCAAAGTCCGCAAGGGTGGAGGCACTCACCAACCGTTAGATTAGGGTTTTCAAAGGGAGGAACGGGCAGAATTGTCACTCCACTTAGAATGCAATGCCGACGTGAAGCCATTTCGAGTTGCATACAAGCTAACCGTGAGAGGGATAGCGAGGAAAACAGTGTACTTGGACCAGCTGAGGCCATAGTCCACGTACTAATTTAATCGATTGGATCCACGTTTGCGGTGCAAAAGTAGCGTAGTAGTAGTAGTAGTAGTCATGGGTGTTTTAGCTGTTACCTGTACAGGTTTGATCACAACACAATCGCAGAATGTCCACATTAAAAGCAATGAATCCAATGAATCCGGCAAGTTGATGTATGCCAAATCGGCTGTATTGAAAATAATTGTAACACCTCATAAAAGTGGCACCGCCGCTGCCTTAAGTGCGGTTTTCAGCGGCTGTGCTTGTAGTTTTTGGTTTAAAAACGCTTAGTAGGTAGCATATAAATATTAAATATAAATTATATATACGCACCATCGAAATCTTTGATAAATTTTGCATACACCTGCATTTTCTGAACTGTAATGAATTTTGGTAATATTTCAGGTACAACGACTTTTTCATTAGTATTTTCGTCAGACAACGTTTTTATGAGCATTTCACGAGTCAATTCCCTATTCTTGGTAAGGGAGTATGTTGTTTCATATAGTATTGTATCAGTCATAACGCCGCAATTAAATGATAATCTTATTCGAATATCCATTTTTTTACCTGTAAGCAAAATTTATTATTGAAAATAACATTTTGGATTTGCATTTTTATGTACTTGTATTTAAGTCGCTCAACAAACGTTTCTTATCAGGTGGTGACATATTCCATAATGTCACTGAGTTGGCATCAAATTTAACTGCGGTAATATCCACGGAATCATATATCATAATGTGATCAGTGGCAAATATATCGAAATTAAAGCTCTTAATCAGCTCTTTATAGTTATCTTCAGTAAACTGGTGTATACCCGAATAACTTTGAGAAACATAAATAGGTTCATAATGTCCAATTTTAACAGCTATATCAGCTCTGCGAGGAACATTCGGTTTGCCCACTGTTCCGACAAGGGCAAAAAGAAATAACGGGCTCCATATGAGTGCTATTAATATTAATATAATAGTTCCACCTATTAGGCATTTAGCATAAAACGCCTTAGGCTCTCCCCGTAAAACTGGGAAATCTGCATCCATTTGCCTATAGCAACGCACAATAAATACAGATTGGAAAATATCTTCCATCTTAATCCATTCCATAACTGTAAGGGTGGTATCAATGCATAACCAGTCCAGCATTGTTCGAAGAATATAGAGAAATGGTATTTCCATGTAACTAAAACGGTATTATTTTAATATAATTAAAATTATATGAAAGTCTTATCCATTTCGTATTTGCTTACACTTTAAACGCTACATAGTTAACCATAGAAAAACTTTTTGTAAATACATTTCCCAAAATGCGCCTTGGGTAACCACAACGCATTTGATAGGCTGATAATAACATATGAAGGCATTTGATAAGATAAAAGACGGTTGGTGCAGTAGCCCCAAAACTGTGCGCTGTAACATATGGCACCAAAAAGAACATCCATATATGTATTCCAATAACCGTTACGAAATGGAACACGATTTTGACAACCAACGCTTTTCGTAAGTATATCGCACGTTCCGTTACGATAGTAACAAATTGAACAACGAGCATAAAAAGGAAACTGAATGGCACCTTGTTTCCTTGTATATATGTCTCTAGAACGCTTGTGCTATATTTATGACGATACTAAAAAAAATTTAATATTATTTATAAGTGATAAATATATACATATAATAAATAAACATTCTCCATTTCCTATATATCTCATACCGAAAAATTCAGATGCTTAAGCTTTGAATCAACTAAAAGTCGAAAGAGAAAGAAAGGCTATTGTCGACACGCCGAAGATCTAATACCCTTGCAGACCCAACCTTCTCATAATGCTCAGAGTGCTTTGCCCGTATATAAGAAGCGCAGCGAAAAAAGTTAATGCCGAGATTGGTCTAGATATAGTGGTAAGCAAATAGGTTTTTAATCAAAAACCTAGTTTTCGACCGATCGTTCCTATGGCAGATATATGATATAGTAGTCCGATGTAAAAGGGGTTTTGCAAAAATGAAGGCAGCATAGCGAAATCTATAAATGCTGTGTTTAATCAAAATATCTTGAACGACTAAAAATTTTTTCATACAACAACTTAATGTTCGACCTATCGTTCCTATGGCAGCTATATGATATAGTGGTCCGATCCAGCTGGTTTTGACATATGTGCTGCGTGCAACAGAAAGAGGGACTTCTGCAAAGTTTCATTAAGATAGATTTAAAACTGAGGGACTGTTTCGCATAGAAACAGACAGACGGTCAGATGGACAGACGGACGTGGCTATATCGACTCAGCTGTTGATGCTAATCACGAATATATAGACTTTTTGGGGTTGGAGATGTCTCCTTCTGCACATTTCACGACAAAATTATAATACCCTCTTCAAGGGTATTAAAAAATGAGAAAGAAAGGCTATTTTCGGCATGCCGATGATCTTATACCCTTGCAGACCCAATCTTTTCATAATGCTTATAGTGCTTTGATCGTATCCAAGAAGCACAGGGAAAATAGTTAATGCCGAGTTTGGTCAAGATGTCTTGATAAACAAAAATGTTATTCATACAACTTAATTTTCGACCGCTCGTTCCTATGGCAGCTATATGATATAGTGATCCGATCTTAAAAGAATTATGCATATATATGAGGTGCACAGTAAAACTAATAAATGCCGAGTTTGGTCAAGATATCTTGATAAACAAAATGTTTTTTCATACAACAACTTAATTTTCGACCGATCATTCCTATGGCAGCTACATGATATCACTATATCATCCAGCTGGTTTTGACATATGTGCTGCGTGCATCAGAAAATGGGACTTCTTCAAAGTTTCATTAAGATGGCTTTATAACTGAGAGACTAGTTCGCATAGAAAAAAAAACAGACATGGCTCTGACGGCTCGGCTGTTGATGCTGATCAAGAATATATATACCTTCTATTCGTTATACATTTGACGACAAAATCATAATACCCTCTGCAAGGGTATAAAAAACACCATTGATCCACTTAACTTCTCCAGATCGGTTCCCGCTTCCGGACCCAGCGGACCCGCCCTACCATGAGACGATCACCTACATTCTTCTCGTTCGCCAAAATAAAGGAGACGAGTGTAAGTTATTTAGATGGCCTTCATCAGCTTATGTTGGCGGTCAATGCCGCTCTCCCAATCAATGGATATTCAGCCGAACATTGTTTTCTTTTAATATCTGCGTATAATTAAATGCAGTTTCTTATAATTAGTAACAATCTCATTCTCTTGTATCTCCTTCTTTTTTTACAGGATATCTTCAAACTTCTATTTGTGGTTTCATACAAGTGGACATATCTTTTCAAGTTCACAGGTGCGTATTATACTTTTCATCATCTTATAATTATTGACAATGGGTATTAATTTATAATTCCAATTTGGCTTTGCAGGATATCTTAGTCGTTTAATTATGATTTCGTGCAAGCTGATTATTCTTCACTTAATCAGGTGCATACAATTATTTGTATTTTCTTATTGTTTTTGACAATTAATGTCATTTCTTTTCTTATTCTATTATTATTATTTCATCATGCAAGCGGACATTCTCTCACTTAAACAGGTGCGTATTATACTTGGCATCCTCTTATAATTATAATAGTTAATATTAATTTCTAGAATTTTTATTTTTTACAGAGTACATTGGTTTCACAACATTTAGCTGAACAGGCGACGAAAATACGGCCAGAGGTTATTACCAGTCGCCGCAAAAAAAATTATGAAGCAATCGTGGCACCGACTTAGGAAGAAGTACCTACGCAAACACCTATATCCGGGCATGTGACGATAATCAGTCGAGCAACCGGTAGAAGATATATATTCAATCGCTTAACTCTACCTTACCCTACCTAAAGAGCTCTCTGGGGGTGGTAAGGGGTGATGGAATGAGGTAATTTATGTGAGTATTGTTCGCGCAAGTTCAAAATTTTTAACTTTTAAATTTTATAGGCGCATGAAGTGGGTGTGGTCTCGCCGGTGACCGCCTCGTTACTGTTGGAGCCCCGTCTTTAGTGGTTCGTCTCGCCGTCTTGATGGTTGCGCCGAGGCTTGGCCGCGCTCAGGATCTCCGGCGCGGGAATGTCCGGGGTGGCCTGGCAGGCGTCCTCCGGCGTGGGATTCAGTCGATATGTGTTCTCCAAATTGCTTAATCACAACGGGTGGGTATTTCAATGTCTCGGGTATGTTCCCTGTAGATTTTGTAATAAGTTTGCGCTCAATAAATCCCGCTTGGTAATTTAGCACACGCGTTGACTTGATTTATTTTAAACTTTAATGCTATAAGACAAGATCGATGATTTGTGGCCGGCATAGAAAAACTTCAACTCGCTTTCGCGCATGACAAACCCGCCATTGATCGCTCACAAAATCGAACTCCCCGGCTGTATTTTTGGGCATCATCATAGGCGCCGAAGTTCGGCACACGCATACATTCAAAAATGGTCACCGTTGCTGTCCATATGTACAGCTGCATATTTAGGTCAACGGCCCAGAAGGAGGCCAAGGGCATTAGCAAGGGCATCCGATCCGCTCTCCGCCTAATCTCTCTATGAGCGAATCGGGTGCCCTATCACGTTCGTTAAATTACGTTACCCTCCCTCAGCACAGTGGATCGCAAGCCTGGCGTTGCCACTCTTCAATTAATTGGGCGCCGCTGTGTGCCGAGCTTCACCCCTCGATACTCTGACTCTATGACAAAAGGATATTGGCGCGGCCGATAATAAAGAAAGCTACCAAAACAGAATGGAATATCGGCGCTGCCGATAGTCTCAAGCTCAACAATATACAGTCGACGGCATTCTGACAAAGCTTAGTGCTGTAATTTGCGCTTTGCTCTGAAGAACCAGACGACTGACCCGAACGATCGTTTCATTCTGCGGAAGTTTAAAAGTAGAGAGAGCTTGCTAATTACGAAAATATTAACAGTGAAATGACACTTCGAAGGCGTCTTAGGGAAGCTGATTACGGAACGTATGTAGCTAGGGTTATTCCTAAAATTACAATAAGAAATAAAATCAAGCGTCTTGAATTTGCCAAAAATACATTGACAGACCCCCGTCATTTTGGCATAACGTTTTGTGGAGTGATGAAAGATCGTTTAAATACCACTGCTCAAAAAAAAAAATTGTTGTTATAGTTCTAAAAATAACACATAACAAGTAAGTGGTTCTAGTCGGGAGCACCCTGTAGCATGCTTACATATGTATATACATACATATGAATAAGGCTGCAACACTTTGTTGTTATGCCAACATAATGCAAACATAAGCAGCGACTTTGTCGCAGCGCGCCTAACGCTAAGTGCCCTCTGCGCATATTCAAGTGCATACGAAATATGATCCGCACTTGATAACAACGACCGCCCAAATGGCTAAGTCAGCGTTCTCACGCTTGACCGTCGCTGTGTATACATATGTGCGCGCATGACTCTCTCTGACTCTCTTGTTATATATAAGCCTAAAAACCATGTATGTAAAACGGCTGCTCACTGCTTCAGGGTGGACAGCTCTAACTCCAAGAATCATTGAATAAAGAACCATCAAGAAAGTCTGACGTCTTCTAATCAGGGAACTATTATATGGCGACCGTGACTAAGGTCAAGCCAGACCTGGACATGGAAAAGCAGCAACGGCAGTAACAACAACAACAGCAGGAACAACATAATGCAAAGAAGAAGAAAAAGAGAGCTCCTAGCAGGATCGCCAAAATAAAAAAAAAAAACGCAGTGAGTAGAGTGTGATGAGTGCAGAGCGAAGCGGTGTGGTAAAAGACTTAAGGCCAGAAAGGCAGAATTGTTAAAGCTGTTAAACAGCAAAAATGTCATAAGTTGGGACAACTCGGTTAAGTTACATGCCGAAGTTAAACACATAAAAAACTTACTTTCAACACGAAAAAGTCAAACACCAGCCGCGCACACATCCACCTACCCTGATATCAAAAATATTGCAAAGCAACAATTAATCCAACAACCACCCAAATTAAAGGAGATTCCGAAGCTGAAGAAGATCAACAAAAGCAAAGTGCCTAAGTACGTCAAGCAATGCCCAGCAGATTGCCCTGGACCTCTGGACAGCCCACACTGCAGATCGACTTGCCTGGTAAGGCAATAACCTGTGCGAAGACCGGCACCGGTTCCGCCTGAGCCCATAGGCCCAGGACAACAGCAGCTGAGAAATCAACAAGCGCGAGAGGCACCCCCGCCCCTTGCGCCTTCGAAGGGAGCGTCAGCGCAACCATAATGGTGATGACCAGCTGACGCGGAAGAACAGGAACAGCGGACACCAGCAATAATTTTAAAATATATATATTATTATCGAAACAATTTATGGAAAATTGAGCAGAAAATCTTTTGCCCAATCAGAAGTGAGGCCCATAAAGCCAAACTAAAAAATTAGGCAGGTTGCTATGTCAAAAAAAAAAAAGAAAATTTTTTTTTACACGTCTCAGGCACTGGGTAAATTACCCAGTAGCAAACAAATTAATCCAAATCTTAAATTTCAAATAAATTTGAAATTTTAAAAATGAAAAAAAAATAATAAGTTTTCAGTTCAGTCAGTTTAATCAGAAATCAGAAGAAAAAAAAACAATTCGAATCACATTGAAGCCATAGGCAGGAAAAATG